AATTATGAATGGAAGTCGAGCAGCAAATGAGATCATAATCCAGTAAATATCGCAGGCTAGCGATGCCATCGAGAATTGATTATGCTCTGGATAAGTTAATTAATGCCTAATAATTTAGATAACATTTCAGGCCTAAAGAAAGACCTCCAATTGGCAGAGTTAGCTCTTGCATAATGTATGTTTAAGCAATATATATATAGAAATAATTATATTTTGACTTCCTTAAAAATTATGCTGCGATGGCTTTAATCATGTGGGCTATAGGGCTACAGCTGAGTGGCTGTCTGGTTGGTAACTGTAGATGGGTTTGTACATGATTACAGCACAATAATGAGGCATTTAATTTTGTACATTCCATGCTCTCATCATTGTAGTATTCACTGAGTAATCAGCTATTAATTGGAGCCAGAAATTTCAATACAATTCACACCATATGACACATTTGTAAACATTTACAATATCTACAACCTCTAGTTTAAAACAGTGATATTCTAGACCTGGTCGACAGTTCCATGGAAATGCTTCCGGGGAATAACCTAGAGTTATGAGGTTTCTATACCAGAGCCCAGTCACTATTCAAGAAATACACATCACAATTCACAATATATTAAGCTACATCAAGATATTGATATGTTGGTCCTGTTTTATCATGACATAGGATACCATAAATAGATACTATTTTTATACCCAGCCTCTTTCGATATTTCCATCAAGTAGAAATGTTAGCCTTGTCATTAGTGCCTTGCCTTCAGCAGACCAATAAATTCTGATAAATTAACTCAATAATTAAACATTACATCCCTGAGGACTGTGATGGTGGTTGTGTGGTTACAAGTGTCATGGAGCTCACACCTTTACAGACTGTTTACACAGATTAAAGCAGCATCAGCATCTTTGAAATGTAAAATAACAGACTACCAGACATAGCTATTCTCTGTAGACAAAAGAATAATAGTTCAACCCATGACAATAATCATATACAACCACAAAAATGTATTAAAATAATATCAAATGTCACACATCTTTAGTAGGCACAGAAGTATGTGAAACGCTTAAAACAGCCCATGTGACACCCCTCATTAAAAAATCAACCCTTGGTCCTAATGTGCTAAAAAATTACCGACCTGTGTCGAATTTATCTTTCATTTCAAAAATTATTGAAATAATTGTCCTTAATTCTCTTCCTAAAACACTTGAAAGTCAGCTACAGAAAATTCAGAATAAAGCAGCTCGAATTGTATCTCTCACCAAACCATCTGATCATATTACACCTGTTCTAAAACAGTTACATTGGCTAACGGTTAATCAATGCATTATTTTCAAAATTAACACAATCACTTTCAACCGTTTAAACGATCCTTTGGCACCATCCTATTTATCCGATTTGATTAAACAATATGTACCTCCTCGTTCCTTACGTTCATCTCATAAAAACCAACTTGTATGTCCAGTACAGAAGTCAAAATTTGGTGAGATAGCTTTTGCATACGCAACACCAAAAGAATGGAACAAATTGCCTCTGGAAGTCTAAAATAGTCCAAACTTGGCTATATTTAAACGATGTCTTATTTAAATGCTCCACTTTCCACTATTGTAACTTGACTATTCCTTTGTATTCTTTTGTTTATTTGTATATACATGTATGTTTTTTATAATCATATCTACATTGTAAAGCGCCACAGAAAACGATTATTATTATTTATTATTATTATACAAAATGCTTTTAATAAAGAATAGATATGGATTTAATATCTCATCAACACTTCAATCACTTTGAGATAGGAAGGAACTAGTAGAATTTTGCTTGGCAGCAATATTTCTGCCTTTTTCATTCAATTTCCTAATATTCAAGCACAATTTTGTTGTATGTGAGATCCCTAAAACAGAAATCACAATCAATAGTTCTTCTACACCATTGCTGAGATTCAAACATGCAGCATTCTAGTTGTGTAATTTGTGCCTTAACAGTACGGTAACTGATTTATAAACTGAATTAATTGTCCATATGTATCTATTGTCATCACTTATATTCCCCAAGTGTTTCCATTACTCTGGTTAGTACAGAAAAGAATGATCTTAAAACCCTGTTTCATTTGATTATATTTTCCAGACAGTGATCTGATGACAACTTCATTCCACATCTAAGAGTTCCAGAAAGGATTGGGTAAGCATTTAAACCAGAATAACATGTCATCATTAATTGGTTTCTAATCATACTAATTGTTGAATATGCATATTAATTTATAAATTTGAATAGCTTTTCGTTTTCAAACATTTTATTTGAGAAATGTGGAGGTATCTCTGGTAAATTTCATTTGAACTAGATTATAATCCTGTACACTGAATCCGGAAAGACGGAAGTACAAAAGTGGGGGACTGACATGTGTAACACACAGTGATGGGATTTCGCCCGTATATTCCGGACTTGTCCGATGCTATTTTCCAAAGTCCTAAATTGTCCGACCAGGAATATGCCCAATCGTACATCAACGTATGGTGAATAATATTCAAAATTCCAAAATTAATATAGTGTACTGAGTGTTTATTCACCACTCAACCCCATTATCGTTGACAATAGGATGGACTGATTAGGTAAGTGATCAACATAATTATCGTGTTATACCGCCTATACACCGGCTATAGTTTCGGTCTGATATTTATGAAATTCAAACACAATTATCATCAGGGTGTAACACTTATATATTTAAACGATCTTTATAATCGGATAAAACGTGTGACCTATAGTGGGTCCCCAAGCTAAAATCACGATTTCTTCATACAATCAGGGACCATAATCCAGGAACTTAACGCCCGATATACTAGAATATCGACAGGAACCAAGATCTTTTGAACATAAACACATGTTTCACGTTCATCAAAATCGGACCAAAATTGTGACCTCTAGTGGGTACACAAACTTGATATTACATCCCACTTCTACTCGTTGCCACTGGTAACCTTTGATAAAACTGTCCTGTTTAATCGCAATACATGCTTAAAAGTATCCGTGTATCAGTAATGTACAGAAAGAGTACTGTTCATTTCTGATACACGGATACTTTTAAACCGTTTTAGATACCTATCAAGCAATCAGTAGCCGACGTTTAGTCCGATCCAGATCGCAAATGGAGATGATGGCTCTAACCAATGTACATGAAACAACTAGTCAAAATCATAGTAACAAAACAAAATGGGGGGAACTACATGGCAGTTCAAAAACATATACAATGACATTAAATTAACATAACAACATATTACAAAAATCAATTATTATACATATCAATTGGCATCTATTTTATAATTTGGTTTGATTTATATTAATATGCAAAATATATATATTAGAATATTGAATAATTATTTTAATTAATTGTGATGATAGAAGGCGCAGTTCTCTTGCTGGACACTTCACAGGCATTGATAATAAGCAGGATGAAAAAAACGCCTAGAAAGTCATAAACTTTATTACAAATAAATTTCAACGGAAGAACCATCCGCCGATGCATACTTTCACCAGGAATGACCCACGTTTTGCATTTCCTTTACACTACATTTAATAATATCGCAGTCCTCTACGCCATAGATAAGATGTTTTGATGGTGTGGTCTAAACAAACATGTGATTGTTTTACGCTCAGAGTATCATAGCAAGACGCACGTGTAAATACTACTCAGGTCGTCTCTCCACAGCGAAATCATTCTACCATGAAATGTAACGTGAGGCTCAGAAAGGGATAAATAATGAAAGAGCAGAAAGTATTTGTCACTTTTCGGTTGAAACGACTCGATGATAAATACTATTTTTCACATGTTGGTTCACAATACTCGATAGAAATGTGATGTAAGTAACTTATTAGCACCTTTCCTCGGTGTATCGGTGAATATCAGGACAGTTTTGGTCGGGGGCCGACTCGGCTGGGCCCCTCGACCAAAACTGTCCTGATATTCACCGATACACCTCGGAAAGGGTGCTAATAACTACTACATACATACTTTAACACTATTTGCGTACATAGTGGGGCTATTTTGTCCAACAGTTTTGGTACGATTTTCTCGAAATTAGAACTCAAACACCATTATGATGCAATGGTGATATATACGACCGTTTTTTTTTTTAAATCAGATAAAAATTGTGACCTTTAGGTGGACGACAACCTAAAAACGTGATTTTTCGTACAATCAGGGGCCATAATCCAGAAAGTTGCAGTCTTATATACACGGATATTGCACGGAACCAAGATCTTTGGGTTATAAACATACATTTCAAGTTTCATTTAAATCGGATAGGAATTGTGACCTCTAGAGTCTCCACAAGCTAAAAACGTGATTTTTTGTACAATCAGGGGCCATAATCCAGAAAGTTTCGATCCAATACATGCCAATATCGAAAAAAAACTGATATCTTTTAGAGATAAACCTATATTTCAAGTTTCGTCCAAAACAGATAAGAATTGTGGCCTGTAGACTGTCCACAAACAAATTGTGGACAGACAGACGGACGGGGGTGGCGGAAATATACAACATGAAAATGTTGGCGTATAAAAAATCTCAGTATATTACATTTGTCATGGAAATACAGTTCATAATTTTACATAATAATAAAAATGTCCATTTATTCTTAGAACTCTCAGACATGGAAAGTATAATTAAACTACCAGCATTATCTCGCAAATTAGGTTGTACTGCAACACATTCTATTAAGATTTTATATGCATTATGCACAACTGGTTGCCTGTGGTTAGGTTGTATAACCACAACAATTCATCTGGTATTAATGTACTACATAAGAAAATAAAATAAACTGGGGTTTTATGACGCAATATTCACTGCATATTCAGTGGAATAGGAGGTAGAGATTATTAGGAATTTTATCGCTAGCACCATGACAACTACTCTATGTATGAAAGTCAATCACTTTCGTTACATGTTAACGATTATTACTCAATCCACAATTCCTATTTCAGAAATTGTGCTTTTGGAGTTCTGGGAATTAAAAAATCTTACTTTTTAGGAACAGGTTTCCGAGATCTTTCCCCTTGTATGGCATCAAAGAAAGCAGCATTCCAGAATCGTAAAGACTGCCATACTGGCTGATCTCTGAGATAACTGTAGAGGAAATGTTTATATGTTCCACCACCTGGATTCTGATCTGAAAGAAAGTAGAAAAATAGAAATAATTATTGAAGATTTCTCCATGTATTAATGTAGCAACTGCAACCAGTCAACTGCCACACAATATCCTTAAAGATGCATTATACAAGATTTAGAGAAAAAGCTGGCTGTTCTTGCTGTTATAGTTCAAAAACAAGTAATATGTGAATATGTAGAAAATCTCAGCCAAATTACTTTATTCTGAATGGTTTCTTTTATTAGGTTTCAGATAGGGGATGCAATTAAATTTATATTAAATCAGTATTATTTTAATACAAGAAAGACTATAAAACAAGCCACCAGTGAGGCTGATGTCCCACACTGAAATCCCAAAACAAATAGATGACACATATTAATTAATTGCATTATGGGAGATTAGATAAACAGCTGGGAGTTCCCACTATAATAGTTAAAAACTAGATAATGTAAATTTCAGTCAAATTGATCAACTCTGAACCGAGAATTTAGCGATTGAATTTTCGGCCTAGCCTCGATCATCATTACTAAAGTCGGTACGATAAAAAACATAGTCTTGATTATCCATTTCACGATTTAATCATGAATGAAAGTTCAGCAGCAAATCGGATCCTAATCATCCAGTAAATATCAGAGGCTAGCGACGACATTGAGAGTTGATTATGGTCTGGATAAGTTAATTAATGTCTGATCAATAATTTAGATAACATTTCAGGCCTAAAGAAAGACCTACAATAGGCAGATTTAGCTCTTGCATAATTTATGTTTAAATCAAACTAAGTATCTATACTTAGTCATGGTTTTGAAGTACCTGGTAGTGAAACTATACATGGAGTTACACCACTATAATTCAATTAGAATCAAAGTTGTTGAGCTCCAAAGTCTCAACAAATCAAATTGCTTATCGCTCTGCTTACCCCCGGCAGAAAATGTTCATTATCAAACTTAGTCAAGGTATTGATGTGATGAAACTCTATACACCAAGTTTCATCACTCTCACTTAAATAGAACTAAAGTTATCATGTCCCAAAGCATCAAACAATCAAACTGCTTATCTCTGCATACCCTAAGCAGAAAATGCTCATCTTTGAACTTCATCAAATCATTCACCTAATGAACATTCTACCTCAACTAGGAGAGTCATTGTTCCAAAGTCTCAACCAATTAAATTGCTGATCGCTCTGCTTACCCTGAGCGGAAAATGTTCATTATCGAACTTAGTCAAGGTATTGATGTAATGAAATTATATACCAAGTTTCATCACTCTCATTTAATGAGAACTAAAGTTATTGTGTCCCCAAGCATTAACCAATCAAATTGCTTATCTCTGCTTACCCTAAGCAGAAAATGCTCATCTTTGAACTCTATCAAGGCATTCACCTAATAAACACCTACACCAAGTTTGAACATTCTAGCTCAACAAGAAGGAGAGTTATTGTGTCCAAAAATGTGTGACAGACATACAGACAGACAGATGGACAAACCCATTTTAATGATCCCCTGTTTTCTTTGAACCGCGGGGGACAAAAATAGAAAGCTGTCTGTAAATCTATAGTCAGGGCTTTTATCAGCATTCTAGTCAGTGAAGTGATTCCTGTTCAGAAAATTTCATCTTGGCCGGCTTATTGGCGGACATTGCATAATCCACTCAATATCCAAGTCACCCACTCATCTATGGAGTTAAATCATGGGCTTGTCATGTGAATATATGTCTAAATAATAATTCATGTAACATTGAAAACCAGACAAACCCCCTACAATAGGCATATTTAGCTCTTGCATAATGCTTCTGTAATATAATCTTTTAAGTTACATGTATATATTGCTTTGATATCGGATATTCTGATTATAAATCAATTACATAAAACATTAATTGTAGACTTGTGCTGTATTTCCAGAAAACAGATATTCACTAGAAAATATCCTTCATTACCTCTTGTATTTCCTAAGGTAATACTATTCATCACCTCTGCGAGTCATGGAGAACTCGTTAATCATTAAAGAATCCAGAATTGATGATTTTTATTTGTGACATCATAAAAAAAAACAAAAAAATGGCTGATAACTATTAAATATTAATTGACTTGGTAACTGTGAAGAAAGTTAATATTCAAAATGAATTATTATTAAAGGATTCATTTTTAACTTTGGTTATGCAAAATTTTTGAGTAGAGCACCAAAGATGAGCACCAAACTGTAAACAATTGAGATTTACTCTTTTGCATGGAGGTAACAAATACAGCATACATACCCAAAAAACTATTTGTGACCCGTTATGGCAAAATGAGTTGGAATGCGCAAAATCTAATTATAAGCTACAAACAAAATAAGTGAAAATATTGATTTTGATCAAAATTGAGATTTTCACAAAAATGAGTCTATAAATATACTATCCATCGACACAAAAGATCAAAACAGCGATAAAAGATTTTAAAACACCTTTATTTGGTCGTTTTGTAAGAGTACCATATTCTTAAATCTGTCCTTTTTCTTAAAATTCTCAGCGAAATTAGTTATTTTTCTTCTCTCACAGCAGGATGACAGGCCAATCCTCATGCATAATACCTGGCATCGTTATAAAGCGGAGAAACTTTAGTTTACGTATATGACCAAAGTATTGCCGATGAATTTATTTTGAAGGAATACAATCGAGTTTTAAAACCCCTAAAAAATGTAAACAACTCCGCTTGTTGCTATGCTGTCTACACAACTCGTTTGCTGATTGGCCCAGATACTGCGGACGATAAAAATTTGATTTTGGCAATATCATCACCATGGGACGAAAAAAATTAAAACGACCAACGAGCCAAAATGCGACGATCCTCGAATGGGAAAAACAGTCTGACATTGTTTAATTACATCGCCGCCAAAATGCACAAAAGTGAATGTAACCATTTCTTGCCAATGAAATTGAAATTTCTATCATTCTATTAGGGACTCATATTTTGATACCGTTATGGTACCTGAAAATAACAATAGACCTATTGTACACGCAATACCTTATTTTAATTCAGTTGTTAACAGAACACCCGCTGTGGCGGCTTCATTGATGATCAACAAAAAACTAAACTTGATTACCCAATCAACAATCCTAATCTCCTGAACACTAGCTGGCACTAAAATATCCCTATTTGTAAGAGTAACATATATAGGTTATGAATACACACAGTCACCAATGCTGGTTAAATCCACTGGCTAACAGAATAAGATACTTCTTAAATTTAAAATATTGTCAATTTATTAATCATATTCAACCTTTACCTAAATATTTGTTTTGATAAAATATGTGTTATACCTTCTATAGATAATCTAATTAATCATTAAATTTTGATACAAAAACTATCAATTATTGTGAACATTTGGCAACATAAAATGAATACAAACTAAAGAGTCTATAACTACCAATCTTTTTGCTCAATTGAGCGAATAATTCTCATCGCGTTTCATGGAAAGCTACATGTAATAATAAAAACTTGAAATATTAGCTTTAATATTTGGTGAAAAAGAGTTGTACATGTATTAATGAATCATTGATTCCCACATGTTTGCTTGTTTGGGAATTATTAATATGTTTAGATTAAACACATATTTCATACTGGAGCATATTCAATCATATTTAGACAACCTGCTTTCATGTAGAACTATCTCCTCTGTATTATTGCTATAATAATAGTCTGGCAATAATTCAAATCAATTTTTTACCCGAATCAATAATCAACTATCATATATCATTATTGTTTATCCTGTTTTATGATATAATTGCCTATTTACAAATACTAGTAAATCACCATAATAAAATTAAAACCGATAATATGAGATGTAATAAGAGATTATCAAGTAGGATATCTGTGATGAATATGATTTGTTACTTGTCCAAAGAATAATGCTATCAAGGAGCTAAAATGTAGCAATATTATTTTTTGAGTGGGTGGAAAATCGATCTACTTACTTGTTGACTGATAAAGATTTATAAAAACAAAAGATTTTTTTTTATTTCAGCTAGTACTCATGATAACCTCACAAAATAATTCAAATTTTGTCCATCAAACTATATAAGATAATTCTGTGTTACAACCACTGTCTGAGAAAACGATTAGCTCAGTTGGTGCAGAAAAGAAATATGTTAAACCAGTACTGGATCGACAATGAAGCCTAGTGTTGCACGGACCCTGAACCCCCAACATCAAGAGCCTCTCCACAACCAATGACAGTAGCGTAAAATGCAGTGAATTAATGCGTCATCTGGGGAGCCCTGATTGACTGTCCGAGTGAAGCTGTGAGCCCACATCACATGTTCCCCTTGTGCAGGTCTATCGAGTGTCGGGAGGGGTCCTCCTGATCAGGCAAAATAACAGCACGCCACCTGGGAAAACATGTCATCCTTGTGCCAATACCAGATTAAGTCCTTAAAAACAGAAAAGTGAAGTGAGATGACCATAACCAGGTTCAACTAGCACTTCATATTCATGTGTTTGATTTTTCTCTGGGATGGTTTTCATTTAGACAATATGGAAAAGCCAATAATTCCCATAAAAAAATGAACTAAAAGCCCACATATCAATTAAAAAAAAGTATAAATGCATGATTGTGATTTTATCAATGGAGGTGGTCGTGTTATCTAACAATAAAATAAAAAAAAAACCTTTGGTAAATTTTGTGGGATTAACAATCAATTTCTCTACTGGTTTCTATTCTATTAACCATCATCATTGATTGATTATATGTTTGGTATAAACGCTCCATCAACCTGCAAGCGGATATAAACAGCCAATCAATGAACACCTGACTAAACTTTCTCAAACATTCCAGAACTCATTACTCCACAGAACAAAGCACTTTGATGGTAATCATAATGCACTTAGCACTTTAAGAATTGTGTCCGAACAAGAAACATTGGGCAATGGCATCAAGAGGAAACCAACACAAATACAAAGAAAGCTTGTTTTCTGGAAAGGAGAGTTTTGAAAGAAAAAAAAATATTTATAGAATTATTCAGAGTAAAATATCTAAGTCAAGGATGAC